GAAAGTATTGGTCATTTTTACATTATAAGGGCATTTTTGTAATTTTACCCCATAGTGCTATTTTTGGTAATTTCTTATCCAAATATTTCCAACATTTAATCTTTAACGAGATTATTAAGATTTACGCATTCAGAGATTGATTGATTTACTGATTAAATTATTGAACTGAAATTTATTTCTGATCAGTCTACCAATTTTTTTTAAGACGTCAGAGTCTTATACAATGTTCTGTCTTTATTCCAATTTCTTCTGAGTCCAATGATATTTAACTACATCTCATGGACCAATTATTTTCATCCATGTATTTACCAATTATCAATGTGTTCCGGAAAGCATGCAAAAAATAGTAAAGTATTACCTCTATTTTTATGCTCCACTGATCGAACATTTAATCTTCATTCAATCATTCTTGAACTTGAATTTAACGTCCAATAATTCATCGGATACATAGCAAACGAATTTACATAAGAAACTGAACTTAAATGAGAACCAACTTGAATATGAAGATAAAACATTGAAAAACGACTTACTTGGTATGAATATGGAAAAACAGACTTCAAATTCAGACTCAAAACGTCGAAAATATAAAATAGGGCTTTTCAGAAAATTTGATTTTTTCGGTCAAAGTCAAAGTCAACGGTCAGACCGATCAATGGTTCGAGTCAGGTCAAATCAGCTCGGGTCGGGTCAAGCGGGTTGAGCATGAATGTTGGGTTGATGTGTTCGGGTCATGTTGGACCAGTTCAAACTGGTCCAGACCGACTAGACAAGATCTAAAGATTTCAAGGGCTGACATAACATGCCCACGCGTACGCGGAGGTGCGTGGCGACGGTCTCAGGATGGTCAGTCGATTACTCCCTGTTCAAACACTCATCAAATCCAACCAAAACATATTAAAAACCCAACCTAAACATGGAGAATCGAACGAAATAAGGTGGTCAAGGCACTTACCATGGTAGACGGCGGACATGCAATGGTGGGGCGACGAACCCGGTCAAAACTGGTCGGGGATCACGATGATGGGGCGGTGAGAAACTACGGCCGACGATTTGGCCATAATCGCGTAAAACCAAGGCAACGAGGGAGGTTTCTCAACGATGATTTTAACGTCGATTCGCGACGGACGAGAGTGTTTCACGGCTAGAAACCATGGGGGTTTTGGTCGTCGGCCAACGACGAGGCGAACGAGGGTAGCACTGGTCGAACATGGCTGGACAACGAGGCTTGGGGAGGCCAACGAAGATTCGATCGGGGGAGTTTTTAGGGATTTTGGTTCTTACCAATCGGGGGAAATATGTTTAACTGGGTTTATTTTTCACCATTAATAGAAAATGGGCAAATTCAGGACTAGGTCCCTTAATTTCCGTACTTTCTAAATCTGTCCATAAGTTTCAGAAACTCATAATTTGACCCCTAATTTGGGGTGTAACAAAAACATGAGTACTTTGAAAGTTTAATGAGTAAATTAGAAAAATTGAAGGTATAATGAATGAAATAGAAGATAGTAAAGTTCCATGAGGAATGGAGTAGTTTACCCTTTATTTAAATATATCATTTTTTTATTTTATAATTATAAAATCCTCCAACAACAACTTTTCAATAGAAGCTAGCTCAAAAATAATTTATACAATTGGATCTTCATTTGTTGTATATATAGTATCAAGCAATGACGAACGTAGGTGAGTATTTTTTTATGTTAATTGTTTATTTTATTGATGATATTTACTCTGTAATTTTATTTGTATTCGTTTAATAAAAAAATTATATTCTTAATATATGTATGTTCATCCAGAAAATATTTTTAGATCTATCATTAGTATAAGATATTAAGAGTTATTAAATTTTTTTGACCCTTAATATTTGTTAAGACATTTGACGAGAAAAAATTGATATTATATTATTATATTGTCAACTAGAATATTTAATCATCTTCTAATTGTTGGTATCCGAATGCAAAAGTTTTAATAACATCAATGATTCATTTAATCAAAATCTTGTATTTATGTTAACCACTTAATCATTGTATTTGATTCGTGATGTGTATTGCAGTTTGTTTATTTGTGTGCTTGTTATGATTATAATTTTCTTAATGTATGTTGATGTCCGTTTTCGATGTAATTTATATTCTTTCACTGCATTATGTTCTATCCAAATTTATTACTATAAATTTTATATATTTGTGTGCTCTTCCTTTTTTGCATTCGACTTTGACAGTTAGTTGTTTTGTTATACATTTCCAGCATATTTACTTTGATTTATTATGATGGAGAACAATTTTAAGGAATGTTTTAGATATTTTAAATATGTTCTATTTGACTTTATTGTAAACATTATATATTTATACTTTTTTTTTAAAAAAAAAATTATTCCATATAACTAAACCCTAAGTCATGATTCATCGACTTTAGGTTTCAATGTCATAACAATTAAAAATTCTAGACAACCATTCAAAATCTTTAACCTTAAAACCTTAAATTAATCAACCCTACAACTCTAAACATGAGGTATAAACTGGGAAATGAAAATAAACTTTTTTTTTTAAGAAATGTATGTTTCATAAAATACGTATTTCGTTTTTTAACAAATTACATCATATAAGAAAAAAAGTATATTATAAATACATATTTTCTGAAAGATATATATATTTTTTTCTTTCTGAAAGATGTATTTAATGATATGCATTTTTATCTTAAATAAAAAAAATATTTTCATGAATAATTTTGGAATAATAAAAGGTCTGGTGCCGAAAAATACAAACTATATAATTGAAATAGATAATTTAATAAAAAATAAGAAAACAAATCAAACTAAAGATACCATAGTTTGGTCCCATGTGGGACCAATGCACCACCTTGAATAAAACATTAGAAAAGTTGCGGTAATAATATCAATATTTTCCATTCATTCCTTTCTTGTCCTCCAAATACTTCTTCTCCTCCTCCTCCGTCATGAACGCTGTCACCGGAAACGATTTCCCGATCCCCATCGGAGTTTTGAAATACATCTTTTCGCCGGTAGCTTCGTCGATGCTCATCTCGGTTATCGGTACCCATATGAAAACCTGTTTGCTCTTAACCCCGGTCATCTTCTTCATCCTGAACTTCTCTACATATGCAGTAACCTCCGTCGCGTAGCTCACCTTAGTATTCGTTCTCGCGAAGAAATGCTCGTACGGCGCCTTCTGTTTCATCCAGACAAACCCGGTTTCCCTAACTCGTCCACATTCTACGAGGTCTTTCAATGGAAGCACCCCTTTAGGGAACCCCAGTTCTTGCAGGAGCTCCAAGGAGTGGCGGTAGCAGTCTTCGGCTCCGTAGACGATCTCCACCCCGGCTTGCTGGTCGACTTCCTTGGTGGTGGCCATGTTAGAGATGTTAAATGAAGGTTTGGTTTTGAGGAAATGAAATGTGTATTAGATACGGTGGTGTGGAGCTTGAGGGTTATATATATATACAATTATTTATTCATCTGAAATACTTTGGAAGAGGAACTTAGGTGTATGGTTGGCTGGAAGTTGAGCGGATTACTGGTTTTGTTCATGGAGTAGTTCAACTGCAAAATGACTGCTATTTTTGACTGATTCTACCGATCAAGGTCCAGTCTGCTGCAATAAAGTTGAGGGCATTTTTTTTCTTCATTTCGACTTCAATTTACATAGTTTTATTTAGGGTAAAATGGTCTCTGAGTGCATCGAATTAACTATTAAAAAGTTATAAAATAATCACTCAATTATAAAATGTTGCTTTATTAAGTTTATTGATTATTAAAAGTTACAAAATAATCAATCGACTATTAATATGTTCCAAACTCGTTATTTCCAATTAAAAAATTAATGGTCATCTAAACTGATTGTTAACATTCTCGAATATGATAAAATTTGATTTTAGAATTGTTTGAGTTGTATTTTTATGAATTAAGTCTCTGTCTACATTATAAAATTTTAAGTAAGTATAAAACAGTTTTTTAAAACGTTAAACCAATAATAAAATTTGATAAATCTCAAAATTTATTTTATTATAGTTTAAAAATAATTTGATAGATCTAAATAATTATTAAAAGTTTTTTATATTTATTTTATAATATTAAAATATCATTCATAAAAAGATCATTTTTACATAATTTATTAAACTCTGATGTATTTATCTTATTCAATATTTTTGTTTTTGAATTTAACCTCAATTCCAAAATATTTTGTTTAGGAATTACCATAATTCGGGTCAGATTAAATTTCTGGTGATTTAATTTTAATTTAAATAATATATAGCTCTCTATCTGACAAATACTATTTGACATCCTACTGAGTTTAGAAAAATACTTGACTCAATTTTTTTGGAAAGGTAAAAATCTACATTCAATTCGGTCTATTTAACATTAATATTTTTTTATTCAATAAAATAAAAATAATAGAAATATATATGTAGAGACATCATAATAATTATTCCTAAATATATAGATGAAAATTGTAGTGTTATTTTTAATTAATTTCAATCATAAATTTATTATTATAAACTGAAACTCAAATTGAATTTTATTTTTAAAAAATCCTTATATTATTAAATCAAATTATATTAAAGCTTATTAAATTCAGATAATTTCACAATTGTTAATTTCATCTCATCTTACCCAAGTTTTTGAATAAAGTTTTCATTTTATTGAAATTATCGAATTTAACAGATTATGCAATCCTTCAACCGAGAAGATATAATATAGCCCATATGTAAAGTGAATAATAATATAGGAAAACTGGGCCGAGCTAAAAGGCCCAAAAATTGCCACAGCCATGGGAATCTGAAACTTGCCATCTGCATTTTACGAACACTTTCGGTCACCATCCCTATCTCTCTCTCGTTCACACAGTTTATTCTCAATAATGAAAGGCAAAGAGATATCCCTATTACTATATTACATTTACTGCGTTTCATTAAAAGCGAGCAAGAGCTTTATTGAACATAATAATAGTAATTATACATAAATAATCATCCAAAAAATAAAACAAAAATTCACAGATAAAATAAAGAAGCAGAAGGCACAAGCTGTTTCCTCCGTTTGTTGATGGTTACTGCTTTCTTCCGCTCTGCATACCGGAAGAAGAAGAAGAAGAACGAGTCGAAGAAGAGGGGAAATTCGAGCCGGGATCTCAGCAGCTTAGGCTTTACCATCGGTTTACCTTACATCGCTTTTTTCATGCTATTTCTCTCATCCGACAACCGCATTGTAGGTTCTAAGAAATGGATCTTATTCGCGGAAGCTAGCACCGCCGGCGGTGGCGGCGGTTTCTGGTCTTATTACGCTGTGATTTCGCCTTCTGGCGTAGCCATCGCCGTCACAGACATGGCCGGTATCGCCCTCGCCGCCACCATCGTTTATTCTCGAAGGTAAGGAAACACGAATCAGAATTTTCTTCTCGAAAATTGTAGCTTCATTCTCATTTTAAATCGCGGCAGTCATTTCACAGCTTAGATTGATTGTTTATTGTTAATTAGGTAAATTGGATGTATTTCAATATGGTTACCGAATAAACTGATCGAATTACCGTTTATCATAATCCTACGTCAAAGTCAAACATCTTCGTTGCCATCATCATCCTCAACATCGCCGTTGAATACTTAACTCTTCTTTACTTCTCCATCGTCATTCATCTTCCTCATTACATCCAGCTGATTGTTGAATTTTCTTACATTTCTACTTATCTTGTTATATTTGCCAGGATTTATAGATTCTAATTTTTACCTCCATTTCCTTCCTTAATTTTCATTTTATTATTCTTTTGGTTCTTAGATCCCCATCTGTATGTAGTCTAATAAATTTAATGAATGTCATGATCCTTAAGTTGTTAGTAGGAGCTCGATTCCTATCTCATATTTTCTTCCTCTCTGTGTAGTTTCTGAATGTGGTTATTATTTGAAAGATTTAACTATTCATTTCTGATGTTGATCATGCTGGTCTGCTGTGGTCATTATTCTCACATTCCGGTAGTGCTGAGCTAAATTCGAGATGGTTATCACAATTCTCATTTAAAGTGTAATATTAGTCATGATTTGTATGTTAATAGTGCTTCATCATAGCTATTTATTATGATATTTAGTTGTTGCCGTTGTATTGTGATTGATGCTTGTTCTCATCTTTGTTTGCAACAGTTACAGACCCTCTTAGTGACTGCAATTACTTGCAATCAAAAGTCAATACTATTTGCAGAATAGTTGAGGTTTTTTTCTTTCCTGTCTTGACTCTTCTATGTATCTTCTCAGCTATTAGCATTACTCAGTTGGGTGTTTCATAAGTTTCGCTTCATTTGATGCATTACTATTCTACAATTGTATGGTGTATAGTGTATTTCATAAATCATGCACTAACAAAAATGAATACATGTTATTTTATGATTTTATCTAAAATGACAAGAACTGATACTCATATTTATTGCCTGTTAAATTTCTTTTAACTTATTTTTTCCCGTTATGATTATCTTGGTCAAAAAGAGTTTGTAATTTTGTTTATTTCTGTAGGGGTAGCCTAAAATCGCCCTGCTCCCGTAGAAGAAGAAAACACGCGCTTCAACCTAAACAATGGAAAAGTTTATTCACAGAGGGTGGTAAACTTAATTATGGGGGTGTCAAGTTTCTGAAGAAAGTTCGAAGTGGAGTATGTTTTTAATATAGTTCCAGACTTATTTGCCTTCTCCTTTATCTGGCTTAGTCTGTTTTAGGGATATTTTGATTGAGATATTGTTCTTTTCATCTTGAATGCAGGGTGTTGATCCAAGTATTAGAGCAGAGGTATGGCCATTCCTCCTTGGAATGTAAGATCCATATACTTTTACTCTTTATCTAGAACTTTATACTTTATCTCAAATAGACCTTTCTGTTTCTTGTAACTCTTAAACCTCTAGGTTAGATTTTCCCTCCAGGATTACTGGCTAATGGCCTGATTTCTTTTTCTAATGAATCATTGTTTCACCTTCCTATCATATCTTGGCACTTAATGGACTTATTAGTTACTTATCTGGAATTGTCATATTAATTACTTTTTCTGGAAAACAGTTTAGATGTGGATCATAACTGACTGGTTAAACCAGCTCACCAACTAACTGTGATGTCTGCATGCTTAACAGATATGACATCAACAGTTCGAAGGAAGAAAGAGAATCCGTTCGAAGACGGAAAAGGTGAAATCATTTTCATTGTTGTGCTTAGTTAAAATACAGCTGATTCTTTCTTACTGTTACCTTCTTCCTTATGCTTCTCTTTCTATCCTTTTTCTCCTTTTTTTAGATTTTTATTTGTGTACTTCTTTCTGATACAAGAAAGAGTTTGAAAGCTTGCGGAAACGGTGTCACCAAATTCGTAAATGTATTGAGTTTGAGAATAGCTGTAAGGCGAAGGAAACTGCTGGAAACGACCACAATCAAGACAGTGAGGATTTGGGTCAAGTTGTTGATTCTCCAGGCTTAGAGGATGTGGTTAGTGGTAGAAGGTCTGATTCCACCGAGGAAGAAAGCCCTGAGGTTGATGATTCTGGTCGCCGTCTGCGTGATCAAAGTTGTCAAACCCGTCAATCTTCTGACTCAGTTTTGGAGGGAGATACTGATAAGAGTGCAATTACTTGTGAAAATGGTTCTACTGGTGAGAGGGAGTCTTCTAATTCTGACTCCTCTGAAGAACTTGAAAACACACCCCTCTTTGCCTCAGAGATAACCGAGGAAAATAGTATCAGTGAACATGAGAATGATAGTTCCGCTGCTTCCCTGATAAATGGCAGGTCCAAACCCCACGTAGATGAAGATTTTTCCACGTGGCAGAGAATCATCCGTGTTGATGCAGTGAGGGCAAATGATGAATGGATTGCTTATGCTTCATCTCAGGCTTCAGTATCAGAAATCAAAGTACAACAGTTGGCTGAGAGTGTTGGCTTGAAGGAATATGACCACCTAGAGCCATGCAGGATTTATCATGCGGCTCGGCTGGTTGCTATACTTGAGGCCTATACCCTTTACGATCCTGAGATAGGTTACTGCCAAGGAATGAGCGATCTGCTCTCTCCAATTATCTCAGTGGTAGGGGATGACTTCTTAGCTTTCTGGTGCTTTGCAGGTTTCATGAAAAAAGCTCGTCACAATTTCCGACTTGACGAAGTGGGCATTAGAAGACAGTTGAACATTGTGTCCAAGATTATCAGGTGTAAGGATATTCATTTATATAAGAATCTGGAGGAGCTTCAAGCAGAGGGCTGCTTCTTTGTGTATAGAATGGTTGTGGTATTTTTCAGGAGGGAGTTAAACTTTGAGCAGACTCTTTGCCTCTGGGAAGTGGTTTGGGCAGACCAGGCAGTGATTCGTGCCGGTATTACAAAAACTGGTTGGGGGAAAATGAGACTTAGACCTCCCCCTATCGATGATCTTTTGCTTTATGCAATCGCAGCATGCATTTTGCAAAGGAGGAAGCAGATCATAGAGATGTACAGCTGCATGCATGAGATGATGATAGAATGCAATAGTATGGCCGGACAACTGGATGTCTGGAAGCTTCTGGATGATGCCCATGACTTGGTGGTCAACCTGCACAACAAGATTTAGTACAACTCTCTGCCTTCTTTCTTTCGTGTTTTTTTTTATAAGAAAGTAGGCCTCATTAAAACCCCCCTTCATGATTAATGGATCACAAAGTGCTCCTTAATCAGCGGAAGGAGGAAAAGAGTGCCTTAGGATTCATTAATAACCGAAATATACATAATGTTTAAAAACAAACTTAAACACTCCCTTAACAATAACCAACCCAAAGACTAATTGAGCTTAATCACAATCAGTGAACTAGCCAATACCAGCCTTAGTTAAGCTATCAACCTCAACATTGCTGTCCTAGCAACCCATCTAATAATACCATTCAAATCTCTTAGCATAGTAACAATGTCTTTCACTAAGTTTAAGTAGACATAGGGACAACGATCGTAATTCTTGACCCACTCCACAGCTATTTTACTGTCTGTTTCAACAATTAAACGTTCCTTAAACCGCTGATGAATCGAATCAAAGAAAGTTAATCCCCTCTTAACTGCCATAAGCTCAATCAACACAGGAGGACCTGGACCAGCAGGTTCTTTCTTGTGTTTTTTTTCAGTTTCCTTAACCGATTTTCTTTAAAATTTTCCTCAACTCTTGCAATATTTAGGGATGTGAGGTACTTTATATTTCTGCTTCAAACAAGCTGCTGATTTCCAAACTCCCTGTACCAAGTAATTGATGAGATCATATTAGTATGATGTATTGCCTGCAGTTACGCTTCATTTGAGAGTGACGGTGGCAACGCTGAAAAAATCAGCAATTTAGAATGTTTAATCTTGATTTGTAATTATCGAATTACAGAATTTTGCACCTTAGTTTTCTCCTATTGCTTCTGTTCTTTTCCATTATTGTTTTAGTTCTTGTTGCAGCTCAAAACCGGTTAAAACCCTGTTAGAGTATGCTGCTTCTTCTGCAGCAGCTTCTCTTTCTCTGTTTGAATTTGTGATCTTTTGAATCAGTGAGTGTGCGCCCCCCCCCCCCCCCGGCCAGTCAATGCCGTCAATGCAAATAGTTTTGCTTTCTTATAGTCACCGACCATGTTTATGCCGGTGAGACAAGCAACTACCGTAATGCATTTGCAGAATGGCCGGAAATGGAGCACGAGTGTAAGCAACAGCCACATAGAGCATGATGAAAACTTATAGCTAATAATATTACGTTCCCCCACCAATGCCTAATTGGCTATCCCACATGGGGATTGTCTGTCTTATAAGATCTCGGTTTTGTTGTTTTTGGATCCTTAGCTGTCTTCTTCCGGTCGTTAGGTGACATAGAGCATTGATGAAATATGAAAATACTGCTCAGTTACATGTTGTCTATTTGGTACAGGAGTATTAATTCAAGAAAAAAACTTAATTATTATATGAATTTTAAAATAGTTTTGATAAAAAATATATTTTAAAATGAAGTTGTGGATTGGCCGTAAATGGATCAATATCATAGAAAATCAATACTGCTTTTTTATATTTCCATGTATTTATTTATCTTTTCATCATTCTACCCATCCAATCAAACAAAGTAGTGCAAGTTTAAATCCACTGTAACTTATCCACAATCCACCAAAAAATTGAGATGCCTTTGTTCACGTGATTCTTCCCAAACTTTCAATGGTTCAGTACACTTTTAGGTTATAGACTTATAGTTACTTTTAAAAAATTATTTTTCGGTTTAATTTTAATATATTCTGAGTATATAATACTTAGGATGAATATTTGATTCAAATTTAAAGAGTTTCGACCTGATTGATTGACTATATTTTTTTTAACAAAATTAGATTTGGGTTTGGATGAAATTTTTAAAGAATAAAGTTGAGTTTGGATTTGAAGTGAAAAATATTCCATTCGAAAAATAATAATATAATTGATTTCTATATATTTATGAATAATTATTATTATAGCTTATCTATATTTTTAATTAGGTTTTTGTTTTATCTAATAGAAATAAAAATTTGGTTTATATATTTTTATCTATTAGATATAAGTTTTTATTTAAAAAACTGGGTTGATTTGAGGTTGGGTGAAACTTCTTCAAATTCAAGTAGGGTTAGTGGAGGGTTATTATATTTGGGTTAGATTCACATAGACAAACAATCTTATACTCGACTCATGATCATTCCTATAGTATTGTATAGAAATATTTTGTATTTTTTAATCAATTATCGTTTAGTTTAACAATATGTGACAATAAATATTTTAAGTGATATCTGAAATTAAAATAATGAGGTTATGAATATAGATAATTAAATTGAAAAAATCATTCTTATAATAAATTTTTATATCACTCAATTTAGGATAGTCGATCAATAAATTTAATATTAATAATTATATAAAAATACTTTATTTATTTTTTCCTTATCAGTGAGGAATCATGATCTTAACTTTGTTTATCTTCATGGTAAGAAATTATTGCATTCCTAAATTCTTGGAGAATAAAATCAGAGAATCCAATTATATTTATATAATATCAAAATATTATATAAATTCACGGATTTACATCTTTATAGAAAGACCCATTACTAAAAAAATAAATTATGCATACAAATATAGAAATAAAATCACCGCCAACATATCAAAATCTAATAAAGTAAAATAAAAATTTAATTATAAATTTCATCTCTTTAGTTTATAAAAATCGAGAAATTAATATATTAGTAGTAATTTTTACCTATAATTTATTAAATTATTATATTTTTAATTCATTACATATAAATAGTTTTACCCATTTGAACTAATTTTTTAAATTTTGTAAAATGAGAAGATCAAATACTTATAAACTAAAACAGAGAGACCAATGATTTTATTTTTGTAAAATAAAGGGATGAAATTCATATCTAGGCCATAATAAATGATAAATAAATTCATACATAAAACGAAAGCATCTGATCCACGTGTCAGGATTCCAACCACCTAGCAGCAAACAGCCACGTCAGCACGCTCCCCACACCGGTTCTCTCTCTCTTCTCGCAAAGGCTCAGACTAGTTCCCTCTATATTCGCTGCTTTTGGCGGTCAACGGATCAAAACAAACATTTCACCAAGACGCGTCGTTGTTTTATTTTCTCACGATAATTCATTTTTACTTCAATTTCTCCGCCGGAAGCTTTGGCTGGCGATTTCTAGACGGTTTTTGGTTTGGTTACTACGTTGTCAGTTTAAGGTTTTTTAGGGCTCGCGGAGAATGGGAGGAAGCCGTAGTTACTCGGCGAATCCTAGCGATTACAAGCTCTTGGAAGAGGTTGGTTATGGCGCCAGTGCTACTGTTTATAGGGCGATCTACCTTCCTCTCAACGACTTCGTAGCTGTTAAGTGCTTGGATCTCGATCGCTGTAATAGTAATCTGGTTCGTCTTCTCTTTTTCCTTTTTTGTTCTTTACTTTGACTGTTTCTAGTCAGATAAATGTCTGTAAGTTGATTTAATTTCAATTCATTATGATTAGAATTGATTTGATTGTTGATTTCGCTGATTGTTTGTCATCGAATTTGATAGATTTCAGAGATTCTTTATTTTTTATGATTGAAAATTGTTTTTTTAATAACTTTTAATTCATAGTTATTAATTTTTGAGCGACGATTCAATTTAAGCTTTTTTTCCCTTCTTTTTTTGTGTATTAAATTGTTTCTATTGTTCTAGTCTTCTAGATAATGCCTGGTATTAAATCGCTTAATGTTGAAGGTTCTTTTTATTTTTGTATGAGGAAGCAAGAAAAGTCAATTTAGTGTTATTCCATATGATACCATATAAATAGGAGGGTTTATTTTTAGCTTCCATGCCGTTAATTTTGTTGAGGTATTTTTGTGCTGTATTGCCCTTGCTACTGTGTCTACTAAAGATAGTCCATCAACATTCCATGGTTACTTATACTTTGCAATGGTAGCACCAGTTGTTCCATGTGATCTTTTTGTCTACTTTGTTTTGGAAAAACCTTCTTTAAGTTGGGATTACATATGAAATTAAATTACTGTTCACTTGATACACCAAGGAGATGATTATGTTCACATATGAATATGATTTTTGCTACTCAACTAAAGAAAGGGTTGGGAGATCAGTGAGGTTTATTCCAATTAGAGTAAAAGAGATTTAAAAGTTTTTACTTGCTAGTGTCGAGATTAAACTTGTATGTTTAAAATGTTTTCTAAACAAGGGAGACAGCACAGTACTAGTCTCTACACCTACCTTTTTCCTTACCCTATTCTGCTCTTATGTCAAATCTGGGCCTTAACTCGAGTTCATCTATACTAAACTTCTGGTATGTTTGTCTGTCTCATTACTGTAGATCATTGCCGAACAAGTTATACATTTGATGTATCATGTGCGGTATAGTATAGCACTATATTTTCTACTCGTTATGTTAGTGGATAACTTCTCTTTTTTGTAACCTCTTGTTCTTGAGTGGCTGTCTTGACTGCTAATGCTTTTTTGCAGGATGACATACGAAGGGAAGCTCAAACAATGAGTTTGATTGATCACCCAAATGTTATTCGGGCATATTGTTCTTTTGTAGTTGACAGTAACCTTTGGGTAGTCATGCCCTTCATGTCAGAGGGTTCCTGTTTGCACCTCATGAAGATAGCTTATCCTGACGGTTTCGAAGAGCCTGCTATTGGTTCTATCCTGAAAGAAACTCTTAAGGCTTTGGATTATCTTCATCGACAAGGACACATTCATAGGGATGTTAAGGTCAGTGCACAATTTGAGTTCACATTATTCTATCCAAATTTATTTGTCACTCCTTTGAACTGAGCTTTTTAATCGTCATTACAGGCTGGAAACATACTGCTTGATAACAATGGCACAATAAAGCTTGCTGACTTTGGTGTTTCAGCTTGCATGTTTGATTCAGGAGATAGACAGCGTTCTAGAAACACCTTTGTTGGGACTCCTTGCTGGTGAGCAATCTTTGTCAAAATCTGTCCAGTAGTTGTCTCTATTTGGCACCTCTCCTGCTATGATGCCACTGATAGGTTTGTTTTTCCTTTTTGAATTTCCATGATTTGAGATTCCAATTTATATTTGCTTTTTGCAGGATGGCACCAGAGGTCTTGCAGCCTGGAAGTGGATATAACTCCAAGTCAGTTCTTAATCTGTGTTTAATACTCTGAAAAGTATTTAAGGCCTTGTAATTTTGCTTAAATACATATAATTACCATACATGGTTCAGTAGGCTTGGTAATCTATGTGTTTGAATTGACAGGGTCTTATGATTTGGTTTGAGTGATATATTTGTTCCAAAACCCAAAATTTCTCTTCTTCCGCACGTCATGGCTTATTATTAAAGTATCTACGCTTTTAGAATTGCCAATTTGCATTTACATTGCAATGCTTAAATATTCAAATGGTACTTTATGTGAGACTGGTTATAGTAAATGTCAATGGATATTAAGCTTGGCTTGGGTGCATAATGAGTTGAAGTATCTTTTGGTGCATTTTGTTTTCCATGTCAATTTTGTAATTTCTTTAAAAGATTGCATTTTTTTTGCGAAGGGCTGATATATGGTCATTTGGCATAACGGCACTGGAGTTGGCTCATGGTCATGCACCTTTTTCGAAATATCCACCAATGAAGGTATTAAATCCCTGTTGAAAACATAACCAGAAGTTATATAAAAGCTGCACAATGAGTGTTTGTAACATGGTTTCTTAACGAATGGTTTTGTTTTACAACTTCTCTTTCTAACAAAAACAGGTTCTCCTGATGACCATACAAAATGCTCCACCAGGACTAGATTATGATCGTGATAAAAAGTTCTCTAAGGTACTGCTATTCTTTCTGTCTGAATTATCACTGTGGCAGACATGTTACTTTTCATTATGCAAATTAAACATTAATTGGTGCT